TTTATGGATATATTTTGATCAAACTTGGCAAATTTATTTATTTTGTACTAAGCTATCAATATTTTACTAAAAACACACTTTATTAGTTTCCTTGTAGCAGCAAACCTAGGTACTCGTTAAACCTAATGTTATTAAAAATTATTTCATTGAAAATCAATTCAGACAAATGGAAATTCGCTTAGTCGGCAGGTTTGCTGCGGCGGGGGTATTTATGTTCAATATGGTAAAAAAAATACAAATTACAATTTAATACATGACTACCAACCTGCGTCACTTCAAAAACCGTAATTTGATTTATCGTTGATAAGGTTGAAAAAGATCATTTCTCATTATATATCTATTATTTCCATTGCGTGCCCTATTATTTTCATTGCGTGAGCGATCTCTTCGAGGTATCTTAGAAAAATTACAAATACTAATGAAACATAATGTCACAACACAAAAACTAACGTAAGTCATTTTCTTCTTTACATTTTATACGAATAGCATTACCTACAAAGTTTTACTTGAATTCACTGAAACATCACTAACCAGATAACCCAATTTTCGTATGGATGTAAACAACTGTGTATCATGGCCATCTGTTTTGATATAAACAAATGTATACTTGAAAAAGTTCAGATGATTGACATCCGAATTCAGCACAAACTATGAAATTTTGAAAGCCTATAGGATGAAGGTGTTTCACGGGATATCATCCAAACCCGCAAAAGGCACATCTAGAGGATAAACAATTTAAATTCGTATTATATACGTATGCCTACAAAAATAAATATTTAGGGATAAATTTGCTGCACACAAAAATCCAACAAATTCTTTTGATAATATAGATATGTAACATGCATTTTTATAAAGGTGCAAAAAAGTATAACTCCCATAAAAATAAAGTAAGCGCGATCTGATTCGTGCCGTTCCGAAACGATCTCACTTAGATTTGAACCGGTGACCTTCAGATTTGAAGGTGAGCACTATAATCACTCGGCTAACCAAACAGTTAACATTTAAGTACTGATATAAACCACTGATTTCTGTAGGGTATTTTGACTTTAGATATAATAGTTACTTTAAGATATAATAGGGGTCGTCCAGTGGTCGAAAAGTCGACCAAATATATTTAATGTAGGCATACAGGCTCCCCAATTTCACCCCACGCTGTATATAAAACATGTGATTGTAATTTATTCCATTTGTTTTGATTTTATGTTTATATCACGTTGTTATTTCGTCACCAGCATGGCAACCCATAAGGCCCATGTAATTTTTTTATATTTAAATTCATTTGTTGTGCTTATTTTTAGACTATTTTAATTTATAAAGTGAGACTGCACTTCTACAGGCAAATATCTTGCTAACCGTATGCATAGATTTTCCCTGCGATGCGAACGAGCTGAGAAAAAAAGTTTTTAAGAAACATGCTGGCCTATTAGTATATAGATACTCTTTTGACTCAGTTCACCTATTTCAGTATCAAAATAAACGGTATCAGCAATCTGACATATAATTTATTTAGTTAGCTTGTCAACAATCCAGAGGGTTGGGTGTTTTCTATTTAAGCTGTTTATTTAACTTAATAAACAGACTTTTCTTCTCCTTAGCTACATTTTAGTACAATAGTATTGCAGTACAAACATACCTAGATGACAGAGTTGCTGCAGTGTTCACCTACTCTGAAATTAGATAGGCTAGACGCCAGTTCAATTCTTGTTACATCCTGTAGATAACTGTAATAAATAGTCCTGGCCAAAAACTAGCTTGTCTCAGTCAAGAACAAAACTTTCTTCTCATTCATTACTCATAACTCCTTGGTTTGTACGGGTTGTACTAACCTAATATAATCCAACTATTAACAATAACACATATAGCTTACTGTATATATATATATATATATATATATATATATATATATATATATATATATATATAGTAACCATAATCAGTACTTCCTGTTTATTCAGTTACTGTATAGCATTTTCAATCCCGTTTTATTGTAAAAAACATGAACACACTGAGGTTTTAATCAAGCAACAGGAAGAGGTCGATCTTATTGTTAGGGGAGCCTTAGTCAACATTGAGGGTGTGATGGTTGATTTTACGGGACTTTGGTTAACTGGTTTTGACCAAGGGAATTGTGTTACTTGGGAAAAACTATTATCTTTCAACTTTAAACTAAATGGCTCTCTTTTATTTTTAACTTCCAAATCAAAATTCCAAATATAATCGTGTTCTAACTAGTAATTTTGGTGTACAAATCATAATCAATATGCTATACAGGGTGTCCTCACCACCTGAACGTAAATTTTTGGTGAGATTAGTCCAATTTAAAAAAGAATGTTCATACTAAGTGAACAATAATTGAGACTCCACTTTGCCACGATATATTAACGAAAACAAAAAAAAACTCACTCGGAATATTCCTTTTAAAGCTATATTCGAGCAATTGCACTGAATTGGTAAGGAAATCGTTTTATTAAAATTTCCCTATACGACGGTCACCTTCATCTGCACCTATTATACCTTGATATTTTTTAATAATAAAATAAACTGTTACCTTGTTCAAAATCATTTTTGATATTTTTGGCTAACCCAGCTTTAAGCTTATTGTGAAGTACATGGTATGGGTTTTCTAGTTTTAATTGTGGTTTGATTTGACAAAACGAAATCAATTTTAGATGTCCAGTTATTTTCACCCATTTCTCTGACAGAGTCATCCCTTAGGTTACCTACGTTAGTTCGAACGTATCCAATTTATTTTTAGCAACTTTTTGTATATAAAAAGAGGCTTTACAAAATTGTAAACTGGGTTTACGAGTTCATGATTTGAACGCGTAGTCCGATGTAGTCAGAAACTTCAAATTATTACCGCTAATACATAAAACCAATGTTTTAAAATTCCCTGATAACTTGATATCTAGTTAGGTTTTGGTAAAAAAATCAACACCCTGTAGTAGACGGACAACCAAAATCGGAAACGCAACTAGTTTGAATGAAAACCCTGTTATTATGCATCATATAGATCTTTAAAATAAAAATTTTGCAAGAAATAAATCTTTCTAATGTACACATGTGTTTATCGCTTATCTTATGTTACATTTCGATGATCTTTGGTTGGATTCGGTCATCTTGATTATCCACTTACCAAACACAAAATTCTAACAAATATATGTCTGTCTCATTAAGGATGTAATTTTTTACAAAGGCTAAAGATCTATTAGACCTAAGGGACCACTAATCTCAGCTAAATTGCCCATGACTTGATTGTAATGGCTACGTTGTTAAACATATCATAGGATAATATATTTTTATTTTTACTTCAACCCCTTTTCCAAGCTATATGACACGAAAGAAATTAAAATATATATTTTGATTATTTGATCTTATATATCCACTAGCTGTTCTATAGAACTTAATAAAAATACAATTTTTTTGTTTATGTTCTTAAGGTATGATGACCACATTTTGGGATGCGCTTATTAGGACACAAATTAACTCTGAAAACCCCCTAACCCAATCTAACATAATTTAACCTAACTGAGCCTGATTAAATATCTACCATTTAAGCTTAAGTATACATGCTGCAAACTAAAGATTTACTGTCGTAACTCTTAACGTCAATTGTAATATTTTAAACAATGTGTTTAAAACGCAACTTCGGTAACTTTAAAAAAATTAGTTTATAGACCTGTCCGTCAATTCTTCCCCTGCTGGAATGTAAGCCGTTTATAATTTGATCCAGGGAGCTGCTTCAATGACATTTTGTTATATTTCAATATTGAATCATCTTTCGATTTACTTGATATTTTAGACTACTTTTAACACAAACCCGCTAAAACATATTATAGATTTTATATAAATTATTATAGAATTATTTTTAAGAAACAACATAAAATATTTTGCTAACCTGTTATAATTTGTGGTGAAGACGATAATGTTACCAATTTGTGTTCACATTGGGACAATAGTCCAAGCATGAGGAACCCCTCAGGACTATGATGACCACAGGGACATGTAATGTGCTATGTATTAACTAAACGCAACAATGGCATAGTGCTATGCAATTATATCAGTTGGAACACCAGTCTAGAAACAGCCAAATCATGTTCTACTTCTTTTAGCAATAAGTAATAATCATCATCCGTATTCGAGCTGCAACTGGTTTTAAATACAGGGTAATTCTAAATGATTATTACACTTTTAAAACTCTATAAATGAAAATCTATACAACCTATCATCACGGGATGAGAATGAATTGAAAGAGGAGATACTAAAGTTTTGTTTGACACCACGTTGGTAAACATAGTTGCAGATTTAGCCTATACAGACATTTTTAGATTTCAACTACGATTTTAAATTAACTACGGGCATTTACCTCTCTGAATCTCAAAACTTCATACTATAGTACATACATATATGTTGAATTGTCAAACGTTTGTGGTAATACCACTAGGGGTCAATTACTTCTATAATTTACGGCTCTGTTATTGTTGTACACCACTATTGTAAGCTGTGAGGAACTGTGGTTCTGTGTTTTAGAGTTTCATTGATTTTAAATTGTGTAATTAATTTAAAATCTTAGTTAAAATCTAATAATGTCTGTAGAGGCTAATTTAGCAACTATGTTTTTACCAAAGTGTTTTCAAACAAAACTTAAGAATCTCTTCTTTCAACTGATTCTCATCCCGTGATGATAGGTTGTATAGTTTTTCATTTATAGAGTTTCAAAAGTGAATCAATCATTTAGCATTACCCTGTGTTTAGGTGCACAAAAGAACGATAGTATTGTCATAGATAAAACATACTCCCTTTGTTTTATGAACAGTTTCCTAGTCTAGCCCATTGACAATGAAATAGAACAATTATTTCCATACAGGCATGAGTTTGTCTTTATAAATTATGCAAAGACTTTCTTAGATAGAATAAAATATTTTTACAATTTCTTTACATGCAGAAACAATGACACAAATTATTTTAGTTCAGTAAAACACTCAAAGGTTGTAGAAAACTTACTCATAAAATGCATATATTTGATACAAATATGATATTATTGCTATTCTTCACTAACATTACCTTCTTTTACCAACTTAAAGTATTTGAAATTGCGTTAGTGAAGCGGTGAAATGAAATATTTTATGACGCAAAGAAGACTCTGCTACGCAACCTTTTTATTGCCAACAGCAGCTTTGATATTAGAAACATTAACTGGGGAAGTCATCAAAAAATCTCATTTACCTGTTTAGTACCGTGATGACGTTTTAAAAAAACCTTTTAGTTAACAATCTTGATAAAATATAGAACAGTTTTTTGGGTTATACAATGTGTAGTAAAACATTATACATTTGTATTTAGTTACTTTTTGCGAATCACAATTGATTGATGATATTGACAGGTAGTAAAAATTTACAACATTCAACCTTTACACCAGTTTATACAGCTTGATTAATCTTATTGTATACAACAATGCTTGTAAACTTGTTTACGCCACACTACATTATTTTGACGAACTTCCCACGCAAGGAATTAGTCCAGAAAACAGCTGTTTGCCGCCAGCTTATTCAAATGGGGTTTCATTGCGTACTACTGTGCTGCAATGAGTTTTGCCGGACACCAATCAGCTGATTATACTGTATTTAGGTGGCAGTGAGTAGTTATAAACAAAAACATAACCTCTCTTAGAGGTTATGACTAGTGATTTTTAGTCCTTTAGTTGGTGGAAATAAGGATTTGTACGGATTTAGTAGTATGGCGTAAACTATCGTACGTAACTCGTCCAAAATGTGTGTACCGGACTCGTATGGTAATCCCGTACTCGACTTCGTCTCGCACGGGAACGACCACACTCGTCCGGTAAACACTTATTTTCAGGACTAGTAACGTAATATACTATTACATATTGAAATAATTTATCAAGCAGGGACATTAACTACATTATTCATTGTTCAATATTTTAATTTTTTATTACTATGCAAAACCAATGCTACATAATAATGGGAACACACAGGCTATAGTAGTTTATGCAACGATCGCGTGAAGACGAGTAGAAAATTTAAGGTACTAGCTTTGGTGAGTGCTTTCAAAACTCCTTCGATTGGCTAATTACGCGAGTTGTGCACAATACTTTACCTACGACTAGTTTTTAATTACTTACCATCACTACTGATAACCTCTGGAGTCCTATGGAAGTATTATGATGGGAATGGATAACACTGTTGCTGTGTTGGCCACTGTTATATTATAACAACATTAATTTTAATGAACAGGGTGTCATCCCTCGGAGAGGTTTATACGTTTGGTTTTACCTTTGCATTACTTGGCATTTAAGCACAAAAGGTTTGAAATAATTTACCAAGTAGGTCTTGAAAATATATCATGAAAATTTCAGCTTGCGCATTTGTATAAACAAAATGTTGCCAATTTGTTTAAGATTTGATTGCCTTACAAACTAATTTTTAAGCTATGTATTATCTGATTTCTTCTCTGCGTTGCAGTTCTGACTCTCATTTTGGAACAGCTGCATGGTTTAAAAGTATTGCTTGATTCATACAAACACAACCTAACTTTTACAAGTGGAGTACTGAAACTTAAATTCTGGGGATGACTTAGTTTTACTGACAGTGTCGTACGGGTTTCGCTTCTGGTGGTGGAGTAATTATTGGCTATTTATAATTTTGCTACCTCACAAGGACTCTTCTTTGACTATAATACTTTTAATTTATGACATTAATAGAAATTGTGGATTTCTACAGAGATACATTGTTGAAAATATGTTTTTCATCGATAAAACTGACCTAAAATAAACTTACAAACATATTTTCTCCAAAAATGCATTTCCCTTTAATATCAATCATTACTTTAAAATATTTTCAATGTACAGTTGAGAGGATGCAATTGAAAAATAAAAGGAAAAACACCCCTAACAAGAAGATACTCCCAGGTAAGGGGTGGGCGTAGCTGCTGAGAGGGAGCTCTGTTCTCTTCTGCCCGTCACGGTCAAACTGGCGAGCGTAGATGGCAGCAGTGACTAGGTTGTCTATGGGGTAGTTGATCTAAAAAACATGCACCAGTTTAAAAGATTATAGTATAAAATACCAATCTTTAAATATCAATGTTGCCACTCAATATTGAACTTCATAAGTTTCCAACGGATAAATATATGTTTACCTCTAAATACCATCTTGCGAAATCTATCTGACAATACGGTACCTAAATGAAGTGCCTTTTAGATATATAAATAATTTCGTTAGTTGAAACCAGTAAACACTCCGAGGGATCTTTTTTGTACTAGACGCCATGGAAACAGCGTACATGAGTCCTACTTCGAGTCATTAGGTAAATGAAAGCAAAGGCTCCACCGGAAAAAAGTTCACAAATTAAAGAAAATTTGGTACTTACGTATTAAACGGAGGCCACATTTTGTCAGCGCGCTGCGGCGGTTATGTTAGGTTGGGTTATCGTAAATATGTGTGTAGGACTTTCCTCGCTTCGTTATGAATCGAACGATACCAGACGAGTTATACTTTCTATTATGATAACCCAACCTAACATAACCGCCGCAGCGCGCTGACAAAATGTGGCCTCCGTTTAATACGTAAGTACCGAAAATTTGGTAAAAAGGAGACATGTTGCTTAGGATTTATGTAATCTTTAATTCTTTCGAACGCAAGATTTCTTGAAATATCTTATAATCGAGTTTCTATTACTTCACAAAAAGCAACACGTAAATTAAACTTTCACAGAATGTACAGTTCTTTGGTAAAGCAAAGAGTGAGTGGGGAACGGAAAGAGGATTTTATAGAGTCTTTTTGTTACCACAAGTGTGTAACTACACACACATAATGTGGTTTTATCTACAAACCTTGAGGTAGGCCATGATGGATCCGTTGTAAGGAGGATATTCCTCGTAGGCGAAGGCCGCAGAGGGTACGAGAGCTCCGAAGTTGTCCCCAGTGGCCGTGGTGAGGATGTCAGGGTAGATGAAGGTGCGATTGTGGGTGAAAGTCCCGATGATGGTGACAGACTCGAACCTAGTCTCAGTCTTGAAGAGCTGGCCGTAGGTCGCCACCTGGGCGGAGGCGTCATCCGACCTGAGACCGCAGGAGGAGATGGAGTCGTTGACACAGGACACTACTCCACATAACTGAACAATAAAAGTTTACAAAAAAAATCTCTTAGGATTTTAATTTTACAGTACCTTGTCTGGAATAGCCTAAGGAGTTTAGTCTAAGTCCTTTTTGTTCGTATGGCTTTAAGATGAGGGAGTTATTTGATACAAAGAAAATATATATTAGAGAAACTACCTTTTTGTGTTATCTATATGTGTGAGCCTTCACCTTAAAGTGAAAACTGAACTACCGGCAAAGCCGGTAAAAGTAATCATTAGCAGTTTCATCCAAACTTCCACCAGAAATCCAACCAAGAATTAGGCCTTCCTTTACTACTTACAATATATTCAACAACCAAATAGATAACATTTCTTTCTTAATGTATAAAATATCTTTCATTAAATACAACAAGCATACTTAATCAAACTAAAATTGCTCTGCTATTCCAACTAAAAGTTCCAACTTCGAGGAGTTTTACTATACTAAGAGAAAACTGGTCAGATTAATCATCTGGCCTTTTCAATATGCTCAATAATAGTTTTCATCACTAGAAAACGCTGAGTTAGTTAGCAAGGTAGAAAGCGAGAGAGTAGAGTTAGGTAGAAAGCGAGGCACGCTCGGCTGTCCCTCGCTTGTAAAACACGATTACGTACAAAAAAATCCACTTCCGCTCCGTGTGATGAACAACTATTTTCGTCTTACTGTTGAAATAACCTTCTAATCGTCACAAAATTAGCACATAATTTGAGGTTATACTAAGACGTCATTAATGCTGTGTTGTTTACAAAAACAGATACAATTTTGAGGTTAGTGAGCTGAAAAATTTATCATTTGTTTTTCTGTTCCCTATTTGAAGTTACCTAAAAACGACGATTTTGCAGGCGATTTAGATATAAAAAACCGGGTTTTTGACAGTACGATGATTTTTTTAAATACTAAATTTTGTGTGTGTGAGTGTTAATTATTTCAGTCGTACTCTACCTGAACTCCACCAGTGGCAACTCCCCCACCGTACCATCGTACACCATCGAAAGCCACAAGTCTATAGAACTGACGACTGAAGTCGTCTCCTCTGGATGGTGCTGAAGGTTTGGTCGCATTGAAAATACTAGTCACTCTGACCTGAAAGCAAAAAACTCTCTATGAGCTATAAAACTCTGATTTATTTATTTTAAACATTAATGGCATCTATGAAACCTACGTATAAATGATATACAATCGTGTCAGGTTCCTCTAACATTAATCAACGATAAGTATTGAATACTGTGCAATACAGGGATATTGCAGGAATATCCAAGCTATGATTAGATATAGTATAAATAAACAGTTGTGGAGTTACAGTTCATTCTGGTTGATAAACTTGACCTTTTGACAATGACCCATGAAGTAACACTTGCAGTAGTAAACTCTATGCAGCTTGGATATGTTCATATTATGTGTAACTTGATGTCATTTGATAAGAATGTTAGTGGTTAAATTAACTGGGTAAGTAAAAACAAGACTTATAAATGCTAAAACACTTTTAGGCCTATGGATAAACTTAGCACTTGAAATCTTTTCAAGCGTGTAACAGGTGCCCATTTTCAGGTCCCTTTTTGAAAGTCACTCCGTTGAAAACAACTACAACCAACCTAATTGAGTTCTATCTTGCCTCAAGATGGATTGATTAGCCTCAAGTCGGTCAGTATCTTTGCTGGTTAAACTACAGCGTCATCTCCCAACGATGAAATTCAACTGTCTACTTTGACTGTGGATCCCTTCATTCTATTTCTAGACAATAGCTTGGCTATATTTTACTGATACCTCAAAGTCACAGCAGACGACTCCCTGACAGATAGTAGTCTTTGTTGTGAGAGTGACAGTCAGGGAGGAGTCCTGGAGCGGCGCCGCCGAGGCTGACGAGGGATAAAATCCCGAGGGAAACAGCTGACGACTCCTGTAGACATCCGTGTAGTCCCTCAGGAGGAACAGGGAGCTGTTGGTGTGTTGGTCTTCCAGCAGATGGACTTCTACGTCGCTGAACTCATTGGATACAACATTCTTTACAGGCTCCTTGTAAGTGGTAGGCCTTGCAGGGTCTTTGGTGTGGAAGACTTTGTTGTCAGGTTCTGTGAAATGAGTCATACTTTAAGGTACCAATTAAGATAATTTCTAGAGTTCAATCTTGGTAAATGTTGGTCGGCCTTTTTTTGAATATCAACTTCGAATGATTAACATGAATTTTATTTCGACAACGCCAACAAATACGAGTCCGTATTTTTAGGCGGAAAAGAGTTCGTATGTAGGATGAAGGATAAGTGAGTTAACTAGCTTTGTTACTCACAAATAGCAGCCAAATTTGTTTGTATTTTCAGACCAGGCCAGTAGTATTTGGATACGTATAATAAGTGTAATCTGTACTCACTCTTGGCTCTGTCAACCTTCCCTTTAGAAAAAAAAATCAGGCCCAATAAGTTTGAAGTTTTGATTTGAAAAGGGTAATGGGATTTAGTTTTGGAAACTGAATCCTGACAGGAAAACATTAAATACCCTACAGTTTGGCAACAAATTTTATAAATATCAACCACTGGTACTATCTAATCGTTTCCGGGGTACATCAAATTTTTATACAAATCTGTATACGTTTTCTGGTAAAATATTATGTGCAGCTGGCAAGGCGTAGTTTCCCGTCCTTGAATAGTGTAATAAGCTAAATCTACTAAAATAATCTACAATTTTTAACTCTCACCGAAGTTCTTGGACACGTTGGCTATGAGTAGTCTGGAGGTACGTGAGTTAGTCTGGAAGTACTGAAGCGCTCCTCGTCTGCCGTGGTAGATCCCTGAACCTGTACCTCCCGAAGAAGGGTAGTTACACCCTGAGGCAAGGAGGACTGTGTCTAGACTGTAGGCGAATCCCCACTGGGCCTGGATGGCTAAATACAATAAAGGTAACTGGATAATAAATCTATTTTAAGTTGTATGTTGACAAAATAACATAGTGTATTGTATTAAGTTGTCATCAATATTTTAGTGAGGAAGATGCTAGGTCTGAGTAATTACACTATTCCGAACATGTTTATGAAATACACTAAATTCTGTTAACTATGTAAAATTTTACATAGTATCAGTCATGCAAAATATCATTGTTAGAAGTAGTTTGGCTTCACTGCTCCGGACCACATATTAGAATAATTAATTTTTATAACCTGTTTACTATTCTTTGTTTGCTTTTTTAAATTCGTTCTCAACCTTGTTTAATCAAACTATCGATCCAACTTGACCCTTTTAGTGAAATCTGATCACTAAATCATCATTATTAACAATAATTGTTAGTAATGGTTTTACTAAAATGTTTAAAAGAGTTTAATGCAGATCAAACATTCCACGTTAATCGCAGTAAAAAGTGTAATATTTCGAATGTTATACGTATGGACTTTAAACATTGTTACCAACCAAACCAAGGAATTGATTTTGTTAGTATCGTAAAATCTAAATGAACTGACAGTATAATCCATTGAAGTCAAAGGGGTTTTGAACATTAAAAGGTCGAATACTGTAAGATATTATAATTTTGGAAATAGCCATAAAAATACGTAGTTTAGCAGCATGTTGGAAGAAAAAAATGAGATCGAACTTTTTATACCAGCAGACTATTTTCTTAAACAAACCCCTAAAATATTTACCTAAAATATATAACTAAAACCTAATTTGTAAAAAAAAAAATCAAGAAACATTTTAAGATGAAACACTGTCATAACTCATTGTATTTATGTACTAACTAATTTATCAATTGACTGCCACTACATCTATAATAATGGATAGGTAAGTGTCAATTGATTTGATTAGGTTTAAGTGGCCCTCGTGGAATGATGTTGGCAAACACGTCGAAACCAAACTGTGCTAGAAATGGAATCAGCTGATTACAGGTGAAGTGAATTGATCGTTGTATCGCATCTTTCTTCATAATAGTTTTAATTCCTATATGGAACTTTATTGTATTAAAATGACACATAGCAGTTAATTAGTTCGTATTTTGCAAGTATTTTTATTTAAGATTTGATCAAACTATTATGAAAGATAGATATTGAATTAATTGACTTTGAAATAATGTTTGATTACTTCAAACAAAATATCGTTTACTACCCTCACAAAAGTATCATTTCGGGACTAAGTTGTTTCCACGTTCGCTTTCACCACACTATATTTCTATGAGGTCACTTTTGGGACTAGAGTGAAATATTTTTTTTTCCATTAACAAATTGCCGTTCTTTGTGTAGGCCTACATTAAATAATAAAAGTAGTAGAATAAAATGGATGATCTAGGCAGCTTCATCACTGACTATGGTCGGCCAGAAAGCTCCATGATCATGGACAGCTGGATCTATGTTCTAGCTATCAAAAAACTACTGACATATCTGATCAAACTGCCTAGCATTTGATTGTTAGGAGAGGAATATCAGCTCCCCAGTAGTAAAAGCCATTTTGGTAATTTAATTCTCAAATAGTATACTTTACGCAGCACTTTACCCGAATTGTTATCGATTGACAAGGTTTTATTTCTTGTATCCACATTACCTGTCAGGAAAGGTAGCTCTGAGATCCAGCAATGAGGGAATGCGAAGTGTTTCACTCCGTAGTCTCTGGCTAGAACCACTCCTGGCTCTTCAAAGTCTATATCGAAGCATATGAACATGCCAAAAGTCACGTTGAAATCTGTAGTGAAGGTGTGTAGATCTAGAGCAGGCTTGGTGACTGGCTCTCCATAAGGGTTAAACTTCCTGTACCTGATAAAAAAATCTGTGTTAGGAATTTGTTGTTTATCTTTGTGTTAGTTGAGAATATTGCACTCATGAAAATCTTTGTTCTGGCAAGAGAAAATGTTTAATGGAGAATTGAACAAATAATAAAATAACAGATATGTTTGAACCATAAGGTGAAGGGGCAGAGCCCATAAACCAGCGACACACAGAATCTGTAATCGCTGCAATATACAGACGTAGGCGATGAACTTGGCAATGGTTGTGTATAGTCAAGTGGAGGAATTATGACACGAATACGGTCGAAATCCTCAAATAGAAGAAGACCGACCCCTCTGGACGCTCGAAGAAGTGGTGGAACTAAAAATAACAAAATTTATGAGATTTTTGAGGGCCTTTGAAGTTTTAAGGACAGTAGGAAATGAAGTCAGTTAGTAGGTGAGGCCAAAATTGGTAACAGACCATTGTTGGTAGTAAAATAGAGCAAAAAGTCTTATTCTTATCACATTTTAGCTTGTTACAGTTTTTTTTTTACGTAAAACATGCTTTGATTTGTGTTTGTTTTTGGGTGATCTACAAAAGAACACAATTTAGTTTAAGAATACTTGGATACAGCCTGGGGTTGTTGAGTTAATGAAACAAAAAATATGTATATTTCAAACACAAACATACATGTTTTTACGTACAAAAAATATCCTATATTTTTGTATACATCATATTCAGAAACTCCTAGTTTATTGAAAATATAGTTGAATTTAACGCGTTGTACAGCTTGTGAGTGTATAAACAAAATTGTTGTAAAATCTCTAGAGTCCACAATCATAAAATTATAACTTTATTTAACAGTTTCAATAAGTAAAGTATGTAAAGGATTTAATTTTAAATAAGAGATTTTTTGGCGATTCTTAGTTTAACGTCCACCATAAACTATGACTGATTGTGTCTCAAGAAGTAATACTACACCCACCTTGCCACAACAGTTCCATTCTTGTCTATAGCCACATTGCTGTTGTAGTATTCAGTTTTGTTAGTTGTAGAACTGTAGTATTGTTCTCCTGTGTTTATCACAGCGTACATGTTGTACTTTTTTGCCGCACAGGATAGCAGTACAAGGGCCTAAAATATAATAGGTGATGTTAGTAAAGTATTATCACCTTTAAGAGGATTATTCTATAAGGTAGAGCTATACACTATTGTGTATAACACTGTATAAGGTGGAGGTGGTTTCTGTTGTATGTGCCTTAGGATAAACGGAAAAACAACACTAATGGATTGATATTAATACAACCGCCGCAGCAATTCTGCAGACTAAGCGAATTTCAACTTGTTTGATTACATGTTTACTAAAATATTTCCATAAATAAGACATATTTATTCCCAATTTAAAGAACATGAAATTTAACTAGCGCTTAGGTTTGCTGCTACGGGGAAGGTGATCAGTATTTTTTGACCAAACGTCAATAGTACAGGAAGAAATAAATAAATTGGCCAACTTTTATTAAAACATATTTATAAACAAGTAAACTACAACAGTTTTAATTTTCTCCATAAGAATAACATGGGAATTATAAATTTGAATTATAAATTAAACGTAGGTTTACACGTTTATACCAAATTTCATCAAAATCGGATAATTTTTGTTCGAGTTAGTGCGTTCACGGACGTATATATATATATATATATATACATACAAACAAACAAACAAACACACAAACTTTCACATTTATAATATTGGTATGATATAAAAATTTGAACGAATGGTGTTTTTGGCCTCTAGGGTCATCAAAATGAAAAAGTAAATCGGTCCCGGATCTAGGTCTTACCGTGCCACATACGGTAATAGCTACTTCCCTATAGGGAAATTCGCTAAAACTTAAGGATAAGAAAAAAATTTACATGGTAAACCCATAATACTCATATCGTGGTCTTAGACTAAAGAGGATCCTGGTTCAAAAACAACATATGCAAACCTTTTCTTTGGTCATATCTAATAAAGTATATGCAATGTAATCGTCATACGTTACCGTATGGTACTTAGTAGACTCGGTACAAGGGTTTGCCTTTTCTTCAGGAGATGGAAGTTCAATAGATTTTCTGACATTGTGGCCAGATAGTCCGCCTTCTGGAAATACTATAATATCCACCTGCGGAAAAGGTCACAATTAATATTATAACGGAAACCAATTATTCCTATACTCAAATCAAATAATCATGACCATAAATTAATCAGATACACTTAAATATTTGTCTTCGTAATCTGCTAAATCAAATTTGAATGTTATAGGTATCTGATCAGATTATGTAGATTGTGTTTCATTGTTTACTTTTTTCATTTTATCTATACAATTTTAAAACTATTTTAACGGAACATAAAACTATACGTTGTAACCGTTGATTGTAACCAAGCCTGAACAATACCTTGTACAGTACAATATTGTAACAAGCCGAAAGAAACATCTAAAAATCTATAGTAAAAATAAAAGAAAATTAGTTAACGAGCCTCAAAAGTCGCGTGGCCAACATGAACTTCAAACATAAATATGTTCATAATTTACATGATACATAGTCCTAGAAATACAAAAGGAAGATATCATGTACCGGTATTATAGGTTTTTACGCTACCTTTACTAGTTCTTACATTCTGTCTGAAGATTGCTTCGAGAAACTGATCTTTAAAGATATAATATTTACTATATATGTGCTCTATCTATTTAATGAACGATAACAAAAATACCAATCCAAAAGTCTATTTCTTATGCTCGAGATTAAGAAAAATGGGAGTAACTGATCAATTTAAGTACAGTATACTAATATATTAAATGACAGTATTGAGAAAAAATTATCGTCTTTAGATATAGCTATCTTTCCACACGAGATTAACAAGGAATTAGTCAAACTTAACAGTTGTAGTTGTTAAAAACATAAATAAAGATTACAACGAATTGTCTTAGCGAAAAATAAATACTGCATAAGATAAGTATTCAAAGTACGCTTGAGTGATAAGACATCGAAGTGAATGCTATCAATAAATGAAGCAGTGTATTTTTTATCTTTAAAAACATTTACCTAGTAAAATTGTAAAAACGCGTTTCTATTTGCACATAAACGATTGAAAAATTTTAATATCCAGTCTATGTACGGTAAAATATGTTATCTTTGGTAAAACCCCAAATATTATCTTAAACGTCACAAAACGTAATACACAAAACTGTCCTTATCTGTCAGACCTTGTTCCAAGTAAAGAACAAATACTTACCTCACTTAAAGATGCGTTACGCATAAAATCCGTGAAAACTGCAGCATTGGCCAGCATAACCTCGTCGGCGCTAAAGCTAGGGTAGGTCGGGGAGCCATACTCCACCACAGCGGCTGTGTAGTAGTCTGTAGTAGCTGCATAGCTCTACAACAATACCATTTACTGTGTATACTTCAGGAGATGTATCATCCTCAAAGTTGCCATTTTTGTAGTGAAAGTACTTAGGTGATTTGTTGCTAACAGAGTCTACTAGAAATGACTTTCAGATATTTAGTAAACACCAAATATGCGGGAAATCCTCGTATATGGAACTGATGTATTCAATTTAGCATTTAAAAGGATCATAGTTTAATTATAAGAGAGTGCTACGATCTAAAATTTGCTTTCTCCCTTTGGTGTATTAGTGAGATAGTTGATTTGATATATAGTGCAATTTTTAGGAGTCTTTTGTGAATAATTTGTCTTTTTGAACTCTAAGAAGCCTATTGTTATGTTTTTAAATCTCTGGTTTATTTTTATACAACATACAATAAAAAATTAAGTATAAGATCCTTTACATGCAAATTTTACTTATACAAATCTAAAGAATTTCCAAAAGAAAAGCCAGTTTGTTGGGTTCTTTCTTTTATGAACAGTTCATGATGTTTTTATACATACATTGATTTAAGAAGACTTCAAAAAACGTATAACACTTTAGTATTGTTAATGCAGAAAAGAATAGATAAATCTAGCAGCCATGCCTACCTGATAAGCAGTTAGAAGCAACAGTAGGCCTACTAGTGTCTTCATCACAACAGCTACAACATCTGCTGGGTAGATAACACTAGTTGAATTGGGGTCGATTCAAGTGGCTTCAGATAATCACAATCTCTCGCAGATAAAGTTGTAAACATGCACTACCCGCCTTGACTTTACATTTTAATTAATTGATATAAATTATCACATAAGTAACTAAATCACACTTGTATATAAATAATAACATACAAATAACTAAAATCGATTAAGATTTTTTTATTTGTGTTTCATACAATATTGATATTTTTAAATTGTTTTTGTTTAATTTGGAAAGAACGTAATTTCTTATTAATCAGTTTACTTTATTTTACAATTTTAATTAGCACTAATAAACTAAGCCTGGTCAAAATTAGATACATGGCTGGTCTAATGCAGCTTGGGATCTGGGCATAGGTTAAGATCCCAACAAACACCATTAGATTTAAACTAAGCCGTGAAGTTGTTTGGAGGCCAAAAATAAGGTCCACTGACTGGAGAAAAAAACTCCATTTTGGAGGATTTCTTTATACAAAAAGGCTTCGTAATAATACCATTGATTATATAAACACTAGTAATACTCGTAAATTAATTATGCAATATACATGTCATTATAATTAAGTAAATATGTTAACTATTTGGTTATCAACGCTTGAATCAAAACTTGCTAATAACATTAAAGTGTACAAAACGTAGTTACTCAAAAAACGAATTTAAGCTGTTCGAGTAGTTTAGTTGGGTTAGGTTAAGTTAGAACAGTGTCATCTAACCTAACCTAACCTAACCAACCAAACTTCTCGAACGGCTTAAAATTTGCAGTGCCGGTAGTTAATCCACTATTTCATCTGTTTTCTCCAAATTTATATAGCGTGTGATCAAAAACCCTTTCTAAATATTGTATGTTTATTATTTATTACCTATATAAGTTACCTATAAAAGGGTTCAACCAGTTATACAAGTGTAATAGGAAAAATAGAGCTGTGGCCGCGTAACGGATTTTGACCTAAGGAAGTTCAAAGAAATCAAGACTCATTAGTTCTATTTTATTAATAGTGCCATGCTTGAATTATATTTAATTGTAGATTAATTGTAACAATTTATTGCTCCGACGCGTAAGGGCGAAGCCGGAGTTTATTTTAAGGACGGGTATTGGAGGACATTGTAATTTACTTTGTGAAAAGTTGTAACCCAGTTGGATAGGTAGCTTCTGCGTTCATCTGGAAAATGAACATACAAACGGAAATCACATATTATGTTATAATACAAATTTGTTCAGTAAAACTCATTGCACCTTTAAATAGTGTCATATGAAAAATGCTCTGTAAAATGTCACATTGGTGGCTTAAACAGACGTCAAACCAAAAGGTATAGATGTTTCTTTATGTCTGGATAGCCGAAAACCCATAGAGTTAGCATAGAGGGACTGCGATAATTGTTTGTGGGAAGGTGCAGTAAGTAAACAACATGACTGTAGGTCCGCCTAAGTGCGGTGCACAAGTAATTACTCTACGTATCATAATATGTGCTTGCTTCTAAACACAATGTTCTTAAATGAAGGGGGTTTACAATATTATTAAATTGAAACCTGGAAAACATTTTTTTGTGGAGTTTCCTGTAATATTTGTGAGCAAAATAACTAGCATGGATTTAGCTAAAAGAAATAGTATAGCCTATATCAATTTCATCTTTAGTCAAACATATCTTATTCTAAGACTAAATTAAGTTTTAAAATTTAGATGTGCTGAAAAGGGTTTTATATAGTAAAAATGAGACTGCACGATGTTTGTTTCTTGAATAAGATTTTCCTTTAATGAAAAGCTTTAGGGTAAATGTATAGCTGCCTCTATTTTAACTTATAACTGAGTTTTAAAATGTTTTTCGTTGACTCCTGCTTGATGCGAAGTCTACTAATTTTAACTCTACTAATTTTGTGTTATTTTCTTTGTTACAGTAATTGCTCCTGGCTAACAACACTACAGGCTTACTTTACCATTAAAAAAATTACACCCTAAACACAATGACATAAAACCCTCCCAAAGTGAAGATGAAGCAGCCATGTTGTATTCGGTTTATACCCATCATAAACCTAGTGTAGCAGAAGTCATGTCTTTAGGGGATGAAAGTACTTCTATGTTTTGGTCCTTGACAAATGCAATCCCCAGGTTTTATAGGTCTAAAGCTGTGTAGCAAAGCCAACGTACAAACTTATAATTTAAAAATCCAATTAATTTTGACCCATGGATCATTAGGATGGAAAATGGTTGCTTACAAATACTGTATATCCACATATAAACGACAAATGGATACATATACTTCATACTTACTTTCATACTTTGGCATTCACTTTATATTTTAATATGTATAAAACTAAATAGTGTCTATTTTTTTTATAAAATAAAAATTCAGTCAATTCTATTTCACCTTCATTTCAAAACACAAAATATGCTTCGGATATATGAATTTTCTTAGAGAAGGAAAATATACCACATTTTTAGAAATCTTTTTGTCTGAGTAAGTAGTACTGTTAACCTTTATCCAAAATAAAATCTGGACCGTTCTTTATCCTATAGCGATCAATAAATTGTATAAACCAGTTGTATTGAATAGGTCTTCCGAAAATTTGTTTGCTTTTGAACTTATTTTTATGTATTTAATATACGACTATTGATGGCTACCTTATTCAAAAGCAAGAAAGTCAATAAACCTTTTTAAACTCTGGAAAAGTTTAATTAAAGTAATAAAACTTAAACACTAGGGTGTGCACCATTCTAGACAGGAAATGAAATGTTTTACGGTGTGCTAAAGAAGGTATTTTTTCTTTCTTTTATTGCTGTGGGGCGACACAGATATTAAAGACAATAAATCAAAAGGGGTTCTTCATTAAGGGATTTTTATTTTTGAATCCCAAAAGTTATGTTATCTAACCCAAAAACAATAATACTTAAGTAAATGTAAAAAAAAATTATTTTTTTAAGTCTATCAAACAAAAATAAAGAATGGGTTTGAGTTATTAAAGTAAAACCAGGTTTTGGCAAATTATTGTTCACACAATAATTACAAAATATTTTTATTTTTTTGGAAGCGATTTAACGTACATAAACTTCTTGATAAAGAAGGATTTGTAACAATAGTATTAAGAACATGTTTACATATGACATTGGGTTGCTTTTGATTTAGGAAAATCATATAGGCCAGGTATTTTCAATATCTGCTTTAAATGTGATTAACCTAGTAACAAAACACTGCCTAAAATTATATATATATCAACGAGTTAAATGTAAAAAAGTAGATAAACCTAATGACAAAAGAGCCTGAATAGTCTATAGCCTACATATATATATTTATATGCATTTTTAAGCTCTATCTTACTTAATAAAAAGGAATTTGACTATGGACAGCTTGTGTTCCATGGTGTTCAAAAAAGGTTGGGACATAATTTACGTAGTTATTGGTGAATCAAGTTATTTTTTTTAGACATGGTCCTTTTCTACCTTAACATAAATACCAAGTTTTATAAAGATCGGTTGAAAAAATTTAAAGATAACATTTTTTTATTTAAAAATACAGTATGGCGAATATCTGGTTAATAAAGTGGTTTTAGAATAAATTTTAACTTTGATTATCTTTAATTTCTACCAAAGAAATCACAACGTTGAATGAACACAATTTTTTTAACACCCTGTATAATTAGTACAAAAGTATTCACTTTAGTCGAAACCCTCCCATAATATATTAAAATACACAGAGTATCATATATCTACGTCATTAATAAATGTTTTATATTTAAACTCGTTTAGACTTGTTTGCTTTGTAATAAAAATAAATAATTATGCATCGTATAAGTAATTATTTTCTAACAAAATCTATTCAGTCAGTTTCATCAAATTCAATTGAAGCGTACCAAAAGTAGGATTTAAAATATAATCTATTCTAAACGGATGCGAGATTGAATCAAAGAGTGTTGGCTTTACGTTATTATATTCATAATCTATATCCATATTCCATATATAGGATATCTATTTACTTATTTAATACGCAAGCACGTTTTTTGTGACAATTACTCCTCCGAAACTACTGAACCGATTGACATGTTTTTAGTGTCATTGGAAAGAGCGTAACGTGAAGTTGTGCAGGAAACCTTCTTTTTAGGGAAATAATTAGAGAGTGAGGCATGAGGACCCTTTAAAGTTCCGTATTTCTCCATAAGATTAACATGGGAAAATCATTGTTTTGAAACTACAGCTGTTGTCATAAATGCTGTTCTGCTATTTAATTTAATTTGTTTACAAAGAGAATTGTTTCTTGGTGCCATGTGGTCAATGAATTATACTTTTGCATATATTTTAAATTCTATACACTATATAAAATGATAGTACTGTAATACATTAAGAGATCCTAATTTAAATAATCAATAAGCAGGATTGAGCTTTTTTTGTTGTAACTGTTTCTCATAGTATATTATAGTATCTTATAAGTAAAACCGAATTATTCTTTTCTGCATTCTCACCCCGTAGCGAAGCACGGGCAGAGCAACTAGTACTTATTTAATACGCAAGCAGGATTTTTGTGACAATTACTCCTCCGAAACTACTGAACCGATTGACATGTTTTTGGTGTCATTGGAAAGAGCGGAGCGTGAAGTTGTGGAGGAAACTTTCTTTTTAGGGAAATAATTATAGAGTGAGGCCCTGGGGCCCTTTAAAGTTTCGTATTCCTCCATAAGATTAACATGGGAAACGAAAATTGTTATGAAACTCCAGCTGTTGTGAAAAAAATAAAAAATGAAAAGAAGAACACATTTTGATTGTAAAAAGGAAAAAAAATAAGGATAATTATAAGTATATAAGTAATAACAGTCAACAAGTTTGATCATTTAACAGTTTGCTACAAACATTTACTGACTTGGTTGAAATGAAATATTTACCATTTGAATTTGGGTTGGCGTAAATATTACAATGGAAAAAAGCGAGAGAGCCTGGATAATTTTATATACTAAAAAGAAAACTTAATTAACACTGTGCTGCATTTCTTATTTATCATTGAAAGAGCCGATTTGCAAA